CCTTTCTTCCGAGGAGTGGCTGGTGGGTTTGAACCGCCAGCCTTCTGGTGAGCAGTCAAGTGCCTTAGGCACTATGCTACCAGAGCTCCTACAATTTTAATATAGATGGATCGTATAGAGAATAACTGGAACTGATATATAACTGAGTAATTTGTTTTTGAGGGTGTCCTCTTTTGGGGAGCTGCTTGCATCATTTTTTTTTTCCCAAATAGGTAAAGATATTACAAAGTAGCAGTCAGGTAACTGCAGGAAAATGGAATAGAGTAGGGAATGGTATAGAAGTGGAAAGACAGAGTGAATATTTTCAGAATAGCAAATGGTACATACAGATTAGTTGAGATGTATCCCTTTTCCTTTATGGTTTTTGCACTGCCTTGCTATCTTCTTTCTCTGCTTGTTCCATCTGATTCACTTACAGCCTTCTTTATTATACCAGCTTCTACTGTAACTTGATCTATGCCCTTCTTCATGTAGAAATATTCATCATGCATATTTTTTTTTCACTTTTATTGTGGTGAAAATATGCACAAGACATTCACCAACCTAACATATCCGTGCATTTTTTTTAAAAAAGCAGTACACATACCTGTTCACATCTTTACTTGTCAATATTCGTAACTGCTCCACCTTTAACCTCCTAAAGTGTACATTCTCTGTTCACAACTACATTACACTCTCAAGTTCTCATTCTGTTAGACCTTCTCTCTCTATCTGCTCAGTGTCCATCACTTTCTTTCTAGATCCAACTTCAATAGCATCCAAATTCAATATTCAATTCATCCTAGAGTCCATGGTATATCTCTTTAACTATTTCCTTTTCTTCTTCTTCTTTCTTTCTTTTTCCCCAGCATCTTCAGTATCCTAATTCACTTTTCCTTAAGTTTCATCCTTCTTGAAAAACATTGAACTTGATTCATAAACAGGCTCCTGAGCTCTGCTAGTAATACTTCAGATATAAGATGTCCAGTATTGGATAGGCCCTGAGTACTGGTCCTGTATCCCACAGTAATGCTTCAGACCTTCACTACTTTCTTGAGAACTCCATTCTGACACTGCCCCTCCTTTTCCTTAGCAGAACACCTCATGTTTTATTTCACAGAGAAAATTTAAGCTTTAAGATATGACTTTTCATATCTTTCTTCTAGCCTTTCTCTTCTACCTATAGACAATCTTTTTGAACCCATATGTGTATGCATGCTTAATAATTATGCTCTGGTGGCATACTTGTTAAGGCATTTGGCTGCTAACCAGGGGTCAGTGGTTCGAACCCACTAGCCACCCCACCAGACTAGGATGGGATGGTTTGTTTTCATAAAGGTTTACAGCCTTGGGAGCCCAATGGAGGTCACTATGAGTCAGAATTGGCTCAATGGCAATACGTTTGTTATTTTTTTGAGTGCTTTTAATGGAAATGTATTGATAAAGCAATTAATATTCTTTAAAACAATTTTACATGGATTATGAGATTTTTTTCTAGCATGATTATTCATAACTAGCACATAACAACAACAACAGCAGCAGTATATTGAATGCACTTCTGGTGGTGCAGTGATTAAAGCACTCTGTGACCAACTGAAAGGTTGGCAGGTCAAACCTACCAGCCACTATGTGGGAGAAAGACAAGGCAGTCTGCTTCTGTAAAGATTTAAATTTGAATAATAGTAGTATTAACTGGTCTTCTTTGTAGGTGTATGAATATTATACTATCACTGACAGCATTGTACCTCAGGATAGATATTGAAACATTGGGATGATGAATGCAATGCCATTTGTCTTCAGTTTATCATTCCTAGCATAGTAGATCATATGTTTGTCTGATTCAAAATGGCCAAAATCAGTCCATTTTAGCTCACTAATGCCTAAGATATCAATCTTTATTCATTCCATTTCATTTTTGACAACTTTCAGTTTTCCTAGAGTCATACTTCATACATTCCATGTTCCAATTATTATTGGATGTTTGCAGCTGTTTCATCCCATTTTGAGTCATACCACATCAGAAGATGGAGGTCCTAAAAGCTTTACTCCATCAAGTCATTAAGGTCGACTCTATTCTGAGGAAGCAGCTCTTCCCTAGTCGCATTTTGAATACCTTCTGACCTGAGGGACTCATCTTCCAGCACTGTATCAGACAGTGTTTCATAAGGTTTTCCAGTACTATATCAGTGTTTCACTGCCATTCATAAGGTTTTCACTAGCCAATTCTTTGAGAAGTGGATGGCCCCTTCCTTCTTTCGAGTCTGTCTAAGTCTGGAAGCTCCACTGAAACCTGTTCACTGTGGGTGACGCTGCTGGTATTTGAAATAACAGTGACATAACCTCCAGCCTCACAGCAACACACCAGCCACTGCAGTATGACAAACTGACTGATGAGTAGTGGAGTCTTCCTTGTAGGTGTATGGATATCATCCTATTACTAACAGCATTGTACTTCAGGATACATCTTGAAATATTTTTTTTGACAATGAATGTGACACCATTCCTCTTCAATTTGTCATTCTTGACATAGTAGAGCATATGATTGTCTGATTCAAAATAGCCAATAGCAGTCCATTTCAGCTCACTAATTCCTAGGGTATCAATCTTTATGCGCTGTTTAATTTTTGACATCTTCCAATTTTCTGAGATTCGTATCCGTGCATTCCATGTTCCAAATATTAATGGATGTTTGCAGCTATGTCTTCTCATTTTGAGTTGTGCCACATCACCAGATGAAGGTCCAGGAAGTTTTACTCCATCTACGTGATTAAGGTAGACTCTGCTTTGAGGAGGAAGCTGCTCCCTAGTCGTTTTAGGCCAAAATTTCTTCTTCTTCTTCTTTTTTTAATTGTACTTTGGGTACAAATTTACAAAATAGATTTGTTTACTCTCAAGAGTTCATGCATATTTGATTTTGCAGCCCCGATTTCAATACCCAACCATAAAAAACTCTCCTCCCTGTAACTACCCTTTCCCTGTGTCCTTTTTATCTATGCATTCCTGTCTGTCCAGCTTTCCCTCTATGTGAATGCTGCCTTTCTGATTTCTCATGGCTGACTGGTCTAAGGGGTACATCTCCCTAGAGAAGATGGGTGTATCTCCCTGGGGTATGTGTTCTGCTTGTAGATCTTCCTACTTTGAGGCTGGAAACCAATCCACAGAAGTGAGTCCATTTCCAGGCCCCCAAAATAACCCAGGTCTGTAGTCTCAGGGGTTCTACCAGTCTCTATTCAGCCAGTAGTTCTGGTCATTTTTATGTTTTTGAATTTTGTTCCACATTTTTCTCCCACTCTATCAATGATCTCCAATTTTGATCCCTTTTCAGGTGGTTGGCTTTGGTAGCAAGACACCATCTAATTCTTCTGGTCTCAGGTTCATGAATGCTGATCTGGTCTGTCATATCTTTGTACTAATTATTTCCAGATGACTTTGATTTTCTTCACTCTTCCTTGCTCCAGACTAGAGAAGACCAATAATTGCATCTTAGATGACTACTCGAAAGCTTTTAAGACCCCAGTCGCTACTCACCAAAGTAGAATGTAAAACAAAATGTTTATGTATTATGTTGTGCCAGTTGAACACGATGGCTCCCAAGACTGTGGTCCCAAGCCCACAGGCCCAGTGATTCACTCCCTTAGGATGTTAGGTTGTCTCTGAGAACTACTCCAACCTTGTCCTCTATTACTTCTGTAATGTATGTGGATAATTTATAGCACAAGTACATATGTAAGCCTGTCTTCAGCCAGCTCTATCCTTGGTCTTGGGTATATTCCTGTTTGTCTACCCCTACCTGATCTTCTCACCTGTCTATGCATTTACCAGTAGCCTAGCATTTGCTGCTACTGGTATTGAAGTATTATGTATATAATAGTATTTGCTTCTGTTGTGTATATCTGTGAGTCAGAATTGACTTGATGGCAGGAAGTTTGGTTTTGGTTTTATCAATGGACACGGCATGTTCTTCCATTTGTGTAGATCTCTCGTAGTTTCTTGTAGTAGTGCTTTTAGTTTTCTTTGTATAGTCTTTTATGTCCCTGTTAAGATTTATTCCTATATATTTTATCTTTTTGGTATCTATTGTAAATGGTATTGTTTCCCTTATTTCCTTTTCAGAGGTCTCTTTGTTGATGTTGATGAATCCAACTGATTTTTGTATGTTAACTTTGTGTGCTGCCACTTTGCTGAACCTTTGTGTTAGTTCCAGTAATTTTTTTGCTGTGTCTCTTGAGTTTTCTATGTTTAGGATCCTGTCATTTGCAAATAGAGACAGTTTTACTTCTTCTTTGCCAATTTGGATGCCTTTTACTTGGCTTTCTTGCCTTATTACCCTGACTAGAATTTCCAATACAACGTTAAATGCAAGTGGTGACAGAGGGCATCCTTGTCTGGCTTCCGTTTGTAAGGGGAATGCTTTGAGTCCTTCTCCATTGACCATAATGTTGGCTGTTGCTTTTGCATATGCATATGCCCTTTATTATGCTGAGGGTTTTTCCTTCTATTCCTATTTTGCTGAGAGTTTAGAATAAGAATGGGTGTTGGATTTTATCAAATGCCTTTTCTGCATGAATTGATATGATCATATGGTTCTTTTCTTTAGTTTTATTTATGTGATGGATTACATTGATTGTTTTT